GGTTTTTAGGATGTATTTTTGACAGAAGTTACCTTTTGTAATCTTAAGAGTTGTAGACGAAAGACTCTTAAAGAAGTTTTGCAATAGAAATTTTAAAGAAATTGTATCCTAAGTGGAAGGTCTGGCTGACAAAAAAAATAAATAACACAAATTTAAAAAGATAATTATAATGTGTACCCATTTGAAAATAACAATTCCGGAAACATAATAAAAATTCAACTGGAAACAATCGGTGGATACCACTTTGAAAATAAAAATTTTGTAAACATAATATAAATTATTATATCATTATTATATCAGCAATAGATCATAGTACAATGTTTATCCAATAAGTATCGAAAATGTAATGTGTTAAGTAATGGGGCGACTATAATCTTAAACTAATGAAACTTAAGAATAAAAAACACCGTCACAAGAGACCAAGGATATTGCAGGAATTTTCAACAAAGTACAAATAAAATGTGACCCTAGACAATAACGTAAACCAACAATGAAGGCCAACAAAGCTTATTGTACCGAATCATATAGTTTTGCCACCTGTTAATTATAAGCGTTTTTATAATTGGTGTTGTTTGTCACAAATTTTCCCCTCTATAAATTTGTTGTGGTTTCCTTAAAAGAATCACTTGTGTGTATGGACACTTTGGTGTCTGCTCCCACACCAGCTTCCTCAACTACATCAGAGAAGAGCATGGGTATGCGCTATCTTTTCGATGAATACACCCTAAGTGAAGATGTGGACACCACAAATTAACCTGCATCACAGCAGGGCTGCATTCCCCAGCCTGCTGCAACGCCTCAGCAACAATGAGGTTGAGATGGTCCTGATACAAGAACCATGAATTTATAAGTATCTTGTATGCGGCATCAGGACAAATAACTACAACTTATTATATGCGGTAAATAAGGGTAAGCCTAGGTCCTGCTTATTGATTAATAAAAAATTTAATGCGCTTTTATTTTCGCAATAGTAAGTATTGAGGGCTCCTAGGACCAAATATGGGCAGTATCTGCATATTTGGTACACGATCACGCTGCACTATCATCGAATATCCTGCTACGGTTAACAAGCGGCACCAGGTGACTTGTAGAGGAGCTTATGTTGCCATACCAAATACCCATGTGCACTTTACAACATCGCTAGCACAACAAATACTCGTTACTATAAATATGATAGCAGAGTAGTATACATACAGGCAGTGTAAAATAAAACCTAGCAACAGTAAGAAGCCGAAGAATATATAGTAACAATATATATAATAAATTCCAACAGCTTATTATAGGCTGCGATACCAATGCTCACTATGAGGTTTGGGGCAGCTCAAATACAAACAAAAGAGGTGAGTTACTTTTTGATTTTATTTTTAGTACCAATCTTTTTATTTGTAATGATGGCAAACTTTTATTATTAAAAACAGGCAGGAGGTATTAGATGTCACTTTTGCTACTGCCAAGCTTCATAAATCGGTTAATAAATGGAAAGTGTCCACTCAGCACTCTATCTTAGATCACATGATTCTAGAATTTATATTAACCCTAGATGAATCGAGCATCTACAACCAGAGAACGTTCAGACATGTGAGAAATACAAACTGGACGAAATATAAAGCAGCGTTAAGTGAGCTGTTGTCAAGACTTTCCTCCGATCCCCCACGGAACACTGTTGATCTGGACAATCAAATTCAAGATCTCACCTCAGTGCTCAATAAAGCTTTTAATTATATCCACCCCTTACTCACATAGGAAAAAAATTGATTATAATTTTCGATTCCTTTTTTTTAATTACTTGTAAACTAGTGTTATAAGAAAGTAAAGTAAAATAACATATAAAATATAAAGTAAATATAAATAGAAAAATAAAAACAATACATTTTTGAATAGTTTTGAAAAAAAATACTTGTGTGAATTGATTTTACTTACTGTACTTTTTTCTACTTTCATCATATCATAAATGTCAATTAATGTAATTTAATTAAATTGTTTTAAAATATGTTTTTAAAACGAATACCAAATTTATCTTGCAATACATAACAAACTTTAGATATGCAATATATCAAATATAAATGCGATATTGTGGATTTGTACTTTATACTTTTGAAGCTTTCTTTATTGTCGAAGTACCGTAAAGTCACTGTTCATTGTTATAAGAAAGTTCATTGCTTATAAAACCAAACACTCCTTTATTCCATTCGAACGGCATGGTTATGCAGCACATGATTTCTTACGTTTTTGCTGTTGTTCATTTTCTAACAAAATTTATACTATTTTCAATATTATTCCTATGTGCTTACCGCCAAAACATAACTTTTTTAAATTACTCGGCACTAAGTTATATATATCAAAATCGAAATAGATATAATCACTAGGATGTTTCGAAAAATAAAATTTTTTTTTCGAAACGCTATAGTGCGCAAAAGTTGCCTCTAGTATAGAATAAAAAACTGTAAAAAAATAAAAATTATCAGTCGATATCTTCCGCTCGCGCATCGACTCCGAAAATTGGCAAAACTGATTAAATCGATCATTTTTAAAAAAAAATTTCAATTATTAATATACATACAATTAATACAGTTTAACTTTTCTTATTCAGTTTAAAGTCCAAAATATTAAAAAAAAATAATAAGCCACTGATAAAATAATATTAACCTGTCGCCCAATATCATCGCAAAATTGATAAAACGCGTAATTTTCGCGCCTTTATTTAAAAGTGACGACAGTTGCAAATTGTAACTGAACATAAATGCATTGCACAATAGTCTATTACCGTAATATATTGTTCAAACTACCAGAAATTGTACAGCATTGGAATTTTTTATTTATATAATTTAATTTTTAGTTTTTTTACCTAATTTACCCAAAGGTTAAAATATTTTTTGGGTAGACATGAAAATATTTCTATATCAATATTTTTGCTTGAACTATACTGAATATTATTTATATTCAATATAATATAATATAATATTTGAATTTTATTTAAATAGTATTTATTACTAATATCCAAAAATTTTAAATCAATGGCGACTATGAACAAATAACAATTCATAACTATGTATCTTGTACATATGGCCGAGACAATATTATATTATGAATACACCTCGGTAGATACTATCCTTAGAAAAGCGTATAAAATAAATCGTACCAAAAAATACATATGAGGTATGTTAATTTGGGGATATGTTCCATAACTTTAAAAAATCGTGTAAGACAAAAACATTCGGAATATTTTACCATAAAATCGTGTAAAAAATTTTAAAAAATAAATCGAAAAAAAAAATTCATTCACAATCCACAACTCTTAAAGCTTGTGGATTAAGAGGTTTATTTATTAACAGAGGCTTTAATATTTTATCACCAGAAGCGTTACTTCAAAGCAAAAACGTTACCCGCTCATTGGCTGCTTTAAAACCATCAACAGATTTTTCAGGTTTTGCTATATACGTTCTGTCCGGCATTTTCTTCAAAATAACCCCGTTTCATCGGCATTAAATATTTGATCTGGATCGGTACCATCATTTTTAATTATTTTTGCTGATTTATTCGGAAAGCTTTTTGCAGCATTTTCGTCTGTTGATTCAATTTCTCCCTTAATTTTTATATTGTGAAATGCGTGTCTTTTTAAAAAACCTGTTAGCCAATCCCTCTTGCATTAATTGGCTGTATATTCTTAGTGCTTCTTCTTTTATAATTCTACCATTAACAGGTATTTTTTTTTACCAGTAATAAAGTTTTAATAGAAATTCATGCAAGATCAAAAAGAAGTGTATTTGGCCTTAATTGTGAAACGTGTTATTTCAAAAGAGTTGTAAAAAGTTGTATATATGGTATTATTCGTTTTAATCGAATATATTTTGGTTTGTTTTTGCCAACATTTAAGTTAGCAATCTCTGCTAACAGAAATGTAAGCGTTTGTACTGCATTACGACTAAAGATAACTTCACATACATAAAAAATATTATGATTTATATAGTTTTTTAATAAGGAGGTTGAAAACGTTTCAATAGCTTAGATGCTAATGATAGAATTGAGTGCAGACGAAACGTCGACTCAATGGATCTTGAAGAGGAGAAACTCCAATTCAAGTGCGCGAACTTTGGATTGATTCCTTACAATTAAACAAGCAGTTTGCTAGTTAGAAACCTTTATTGTAATGAAAAATGTATCTGCAATTTACCTCTTAAATATAAGTGATAAATTGCCGATACGCATATTAACAATAATGCAAAATTAATAATTAAAATAAATTAATTATAAATTGCAAATAATACAATTTAAATAAAATGCAAAATCAATACAATTGAAATAAAATGCAAAATCAATAAAAATTAATTAAATTATTTTTTAAATAAAAATATGAAATGTTATAAAACAACGTGGAGTGCATTTGCTGACTTCGCAAAATGCAGTTCCAAGCAAATTGCTTTGAACTGCATTGTTACGAAAGAAGAAGTCAACGAACCGGTCAGCCTTGGCATTGGTTTCGGTTAGGAAATAAATGCAAGTCTATCATATAGTTCGTTGACTTGTCAACATACTGCCCCCGTTGAATTAGAAGAATTCAAGACATATATAACAATAATAATCATAATAAAAATAATATTATTCTTCAATGTTGATTGTGAAATTCTGAGGGCTTCTTGGTGCCGGAGAGGGATGTTGAGATTTACATCGTCTGTAGCGGCATCCTACTACAACTAGAATGAAGATTATTAGTATGCCGAGAGTTATGTAACTGGTCACGTAATGGTGAATATTATGTTTGTTGAAGCTCGTCGGTGCCTCTGATGCCAAAGCTTCACGTAGGTGTTTTATTTCATCCAGGCTTACGGTGTATTCGGCTGGATTATATGAAATTTTTGGCAGTTTGTGTGTTGAATTAGGCAATGGTTCTGAGTTGAAACGAGCGTATGATTGTCGCATGTTGCTTTTGTATACATGATGTCCGCGTATCAAGAATTGCTCGTGTTTCAGTATACAGTTATCTTGAACCTCGAATCGGCCAGCTAAATCCAGAGTGAAGTGCTGTATTGTGTTGTTGCATACGAGGTTGACATGCCGTAAATCCATTGATTAGAATTGTGTAGCTGGAACCAAGTGGTATTTTGATCGAGTCGTTGAAGTTGACAGCTGGTTGCGTCTTTATTGTGAAACAAGTCCATTTCACATTTTCCTATTTCGGCGTTTGCTCGATAAATTGGGTGTTGTTGATAGCATAGATAGATGTTGTTGCTGACCTCATGACAACCGACCAACTCCTTATTCATAGGATACAGTTGTTCCTTATGCAAATTTATTCCGATAAATCTTGTTAAAGGGTTAATGATGACAAGTGACCCATTTATTGCAGCTGGAATTGGTGTTAATTGGAACAATTCAAATGTTTCAGAATCTACTAATGGCAGTAGTAGCGAAAATACAACCTGTGTATCCGTTTTAAATAGCTTGAGTTCAATGAGTCGAAAATACTCCAAGATGCTGTCATCTTCTATTGGAAGTTGTAGATTTTGCGATAAGTGTGTCCGAATGTTTTGCAGTTCCTTTCGAAACTGATCAGTGGATATGAGTAGAGGATTAATCTTGCCATGATGACCATCGGTGATAGCGTCTATTAAGGCCTGTTGTTGCATTTGGAAGTTGTGAGTTAACGTTAGTACTTGCAACGCCAATGAAGTAAATGTATAATATAATGCACTTTTGTCGAGTGCATTACTGACATTATTGATAGTTGACATTATCAACTTTATTTGTGCATCTAAGTCAGTGAATTTCCGTTTTGAGGCGTCTTGAGTTTGTTTCAAGATGTTTAGTGTTGCGTCCAAAATTGATGTGTGGTTTTTAAGTAATTTGTTAAGGTATTCTTCGTTGTCGTAGATTTGGCTCAAATGGTGTTTCATCTCTGTTTCATAATTTGAGTCTAATACGCCAAACAAGGAATTAGCTACATTTCCAATAATATTTATTGCTCCCCGTTTCGATCTTGCAATAGGGGATTTGAGTAGGGCATTTTCCATTTCAATGTCGCTGTGCCAGTGGTCATAAAAGGTTACGAGCCTGTCGCATGCAAATTGGCCACCGCTTTGATGACAAATGTTATCAAGGGCTGCTGTAGTCGATCTAATCGAATCCCAGGCAATCCAAAAAGATGATAAATTGTAGTATACTACAATGTTCCACTGACTTGATATGATTTTGGTAGCTCCGATGTTTTCGAAATAGAGTCCAGGTCTGGTAAATTGCTCGACGATTGGGCTGCATTGGGATGTAGTC